AGGTCTTTCTTCCAGCTCATCTCCTTTTGCGACTTTGGTATCGGCTACTCTTACTCCATTCTTCATCTGCTACGTATCGTGTCCCCTTCCTTGCTTACGATTCTTCTCTCTGTACCAACTTACTCTCACTTCCTCTCTATTAGGTATTACTTCTCAACCCGACCTTTTACTCTTCCACTGCCCTTTCTACCTTCTGTACATACCCTCTCCCCCGTTTCTACCGTTCTTGTAGCCATGCCTCATAATCGTCGCTGTAACTACACCTGTAACCCTAAACCTCCCACTACACTCTGATAACATCTCCCTCCCTCCCCACTCCACCCACCGCCCTTAAAATCCTCTTCTACGTGTCACCTCAACTCCTTCACTGGTAAGAAATGCATTATCACACTGTTGTACATGGACGCAGTATGTTTCACTCGACATATTCCTTCGTTCTCTTAATCTCTATATTTAGGCTTTCATCAGAGCTTGTATATAATATGCATTCTATGGTCCCTATTGTCAGTATGCCTAATTATTCATTTCTGTATTCTATGATATCGGAAAAGAACCGGATAAAGTTTCTACTTTCGGAAATGTTTGTTGTGGGAGGCGTAATGAGGTCGTTTGCACCACAAACGATAATATGGCGCGGAAATCGTTGGGCTGAAAGTGAATTATTTTTTTGGTTTATGCTCGTTGTCTTCAGAGGTCGTTGGGGTCATCTTTGCGGCGGGATATAATGGTTGTTATTAACGAATTTTAACATCGCTTGATTGGGTGTATGATGAGAATGTACTGTATGAATATTTCGGCGGCGGAGTTCTTTAGATCCTGTGGAGTTAAATGCAACGGGAAAAAGTAATTTAAGCGAGGCCGTTCACTTTTTTTTTTCAAATTAATGATTACAGGGTTTACTTTGAAGACGAACAAAGATTCCACCACAAGAATATTACTTTTTGATGTCATGGAATAAAGAAATGTACATCATTAAACAAAGGACGATATTTAAAAAGACATGAATAGTTTTTTTCTGTTTATTTCGTTGGACTTCCGTAGCCCCCCACGTCATAGGCTTGTGTTATCTAACGGGGTACCCGACTAACAGGAAACTACATAACTGCCAACGGTAGTGGCTTGTGTATGACTACTTGCTCGCTCGTTCAAGACTGTTGACATCGCTTACCGTTAATTTGGAAACTCGAGAGGGATTATATATTCACGTTCTTGCCAGGACCTTTCCCACGGTTAATTTGCCAAGTTTCCCAGAGGAGCAATAAGAGATATATATGGCAGTGCTGTGACCTCGAGAGAGAGACTGTAGGACCAGACGGGTGAACACGAGATAGAGGGCCTTGGGGGTAAGTGTAAGGGGTCGTGTTAAGGGGATTAAGATAACAAGCGGTATTGACAGCCTTCTTGGGAGTTCCGAGAAACTGCCTTCTCTTGACATAGTTTTTGGGTATAAAAATGTATTCTTAATATAGTTTCGTAATTCTGAGAAATCAGTTTTTTTCATCTGATAATCCATTTCATCCGCTTTGCAGTCTTTCTAAATGAACTAGATTTAGAGGAAAAGGCCGAACTACAACTTTTACTAAACAGAAAATAATTCCAAAAAGTATTACAGCACAAAGAGAACGGAAGCACATTAATCATTCATATATATATTTTTTAATAATCATATTGGATTTCGACCCTTTAAAAACAAGAATACGATATCCATTTCTCTTTAAATAAAGAGGGGAAAAGTAATACCAATTTTTCTTTTAATTCACGAAGAAAGTGCTCCCTCTCCTCTCTGTCTGTCTGTCTTGTCCTGTCTCTCTCTGTCTCTGTCTCTGTCTCTGTCTCTGTCTCTGTCTCTCTGTCTCTGTCTCTGTCTCTGTCTCTGTCTCTGTCTCTCTCTCTCTCTCTCTCTCTCTCTCCCTCTCTCTCCCCTCTCTCTCCCTCTCTCTCCCCTCTCTCTCCTCTCCTCCCCCCCTCTCTCTCTCCTTCTCCTCTCTCTCTCCCTCTCTCTCCTCCTCCCTCCCCTCCTCGCCTCCCTCCCTCCTCCTCGCCTCCTCTCATCTCTCTCTCTCTCTCTCTCTCTCTCTCTCTCTCTTCTCTCTCTCTCTCTCCTCTCTCCCTCTCTCTCCCTCTCTCCTCTCTCTCTCTCCTCCCTCCTCCTCCCTCCCTCCCTATATATATATATATATATATATATATATATATATATATATATGATAGATACGATAACGACAGATAAATAGATACATAAATAAATAGAAAA